TTGTATTCATTAAGTAGTGGTAGTTTTACTTTCTCCAATGACCTTTTTACAAGAGTCATTCAGATTGAGCTTTCAGCTGTCTTAATAATTATTTTGGTCAAGTTATCTAGAGATCCTTTTACATTGTTTATTGTTGTCGAGTACTTGTTTATATCCGACTCTATCTATTTCATAAAACGCTTTTAATCGGCTTTACCTATTTTCCATTTCGGAAAAAAAGGGGTTGTGCGGTTATGTTGATTGATTTCTATCATTAATAGACAGTGGTCACTGTTGTACGTGTTGCATTGAATACCAAGACAAATGTGGTAAACATCAGTGTCACACATTGTTAGATCAAGTGTAGTAGCTTCTCCAGTTCTTATATTAAATCTAGTCGGACTTAAGTTTGGATGATCTATAATTTCTTTAATTACATTACCCCCTTGGTCTTTATATGTTGATCCCCAGATCTGATTACATGCGTTTAGTATTCTCAAAATGATTCGAAAAGTAGAAATTTGATTGAAAAGATCCTCTAGTTTGGTTCTCGCTATTACTGCTCCAGAAGGAATAATATATATATATATATATATATATATATAATATATATATATATATATATTGCAAAGGTTTATATTAGTTTTTCCAATGACGGTGATAACAATGGCCTCTAATTAAGTATTTAGAGATATTCTTATTAAGTCATATGAATTATTAATTAAAATTGATACACCATCACTAACAATATTTTGATTGGGTCTAATTTAGATATGACACAAATAGTTTCTTAGCTTAGCATGCTTTAATATGGATTTATGTTTCGTCAATTAGAAATCTTCGGAATTCTAGTTTAATGATTTATTATCAGATGTCGCTATTGCGTTCATAGCGAAGTCATTTTAGCGTTGCTTCCTTTTCGACAGGAAAGATTGTTTTCACATTCAGAGTATCTGTAAATAGTCGCCCCGAAGATTCCTTTTAGGATGAAATACGTATAAGCGAATATACAGAGGCAATAGACGTGAATCAATATTAACTGTATTTCCTTATAGATTCTTAAGTTTTTATTTTAATTTTGTATAAAATTGATGTCTTGTAAACAGACAAAATATGGATTTTGTTCTTAAAAAATTATTTGTAGCATAGGTAAATTATTGTAATAGTCATTTATATTTCACTGTATTAACTAATTAAAAATCGATTTTATTAATGAAATTTATTAAATAACTCGTTCGTGAGCAGCTACTTACTGTATCGGATATTAGGTATTTGCAGCTGTAAGTGTTTTAGTAGAATTTTCCTTAATTTGGTATTTCGGGTTTTGTCTTAATTATAGGGTTATATTTTAAAATATATCCCTATACTCATTTTGTGTATAATTTTGGATTTATAAATATAATATGATACTAATAATAAGCTTCGGTTTATTATTAGTATCATTATGAGGCGGAGAAGGACTTAAAGTACCGTCAATAGGTCTTTTTAAACTGATTTGTGAAGATTCAATTTCTATACGTAAGGTAGTTATTTGGCTAGTTAGAAGAATAGGATTTAGATTTGGGTTAATAAGGTTTTTGTTGCCCATTTTTGTTTACAGTTGTAACACGTTAAGTTGCCGCTTGATAAGTAGATTCTGTATAAAGTATTATCGTAGTTGATTACAAATGATTCTGAATTGTAAGATCTGTTTAGCTCATAAAGATTTGCCTTCTAAAGCTCAGTATGTGATTAAATTCAGATATCGGTGCATTAATTTTTAAATGGTATATTATAGATAAAATGACAAGAACCATGGATTCGAGTTCCATGAGGAATGGTTGGGCAAATATTGGAGAGATTAATTCTTTCGGAGGCAGTTATAAACCGTTGAGCTTGTATAGTCTAATTAATAACAGATAAGTTGTTTCGTTTTTAGGTCATCTGTGATTGTTTGTTTGATTCCCATTATTTCTTTAAGCGTTCGTTAGTAATCCTTTCTCTTCTAGATCTTCCTGCGGCTCTTCTCCAAAAATCCATTTTCATCGCTTTCAGTGCTGCCAGTGTTCTTTATTCAGTGGCCATACCTCACAGCTATACAAAGTGATACTTTTTACTATAGTCTTATATATATATCTTCTTTTTATTTTCTTTGTTAAACATTGTGATGGCTTTTCTCCCTGACGTATTTCTCGCTTTCTCGCTGACGTCTTATGGCTTTGTCTAATGGAATAGTGATACCTAGATATTTGTAGTCACAGCTTTGCCTTCCAAAGCTCAGTATGTGATTAAATTCAGATAACGGTTATTGTTATTGGTTGGTTGTATAGCACTTTGGCGGTTTTTATTAATTCTATATTAATATCCGTGCTTTCCATTGATTGTCACAGCTTCTTCAGTGAAATGCTGTCGTAGACTTTCCGTAGGTCGACGAATAACGTATGAATCTCTTGATTCCGTGCCATCTTTTTTTATCTGAGTTAAGGAGAAAATGTGGTCAATAGTGGATCGATCCGTACGAAATTTTCACAATTATTTTAATCACCATTTTTATGTATGGTACTGAGGTATGATATCTTCCATTCATTAGGGATTTCCCTTGTATTTATGCATTCTTGATATAGTTGTCGAATACATCCGTGCAATTTGTTCGTTCCGTACTTATACAATTCTCCGGGTATATCCCCTGGTCCGGGTGCTTTGTTCCTTTTCTGCTGTTTACATACATTTTTAATTTCCTCTATTGTTAATCATATTGGCAAGCCGACTATTGAAATTCTATTTTGGATTTGATTTCTATGTTCTGGAAATTTGACTCTATTCTCTACCAAAAGTTCTTTGAAATATTCTTCCCAGTCTTCCGGTTTTATGTTCTCTATTACTTCTTAATTCTTTTCTTTTCACAATTTATTTACCAGTTTCCAGCTTTCTGTGCTTCTGGTTTCTCCTAGATAAGTAATTATTCGTTGGCAGTTTCTTTCCCAAGAGTCGCTCTTCTTTTAGAGATTTTCCTTCGTACTTCTACTTGTTTTTCTTTATATTTTATTTTGTCTTGTAATGATTTGGAGCTTAAATATTGTTGGTATTTCTATAAATGGTCTTTTACATTTTCTTTTTTCCTCTATTTCGTTATCCCACCAGTATGGTTTGTTTACCTTGGGTTCTATGTAGTATCACATTGCTTTAAATGCTGCTTCGTGTAAACAGTTTTTTATATGTTCATATAACTGGTCGATATTCTTAGGGGCGGGAATTTGTAGCTTATCAACCAATCTATTTTTGAACAAGTCTTGGGTACTTTCTTCATCTAGGCTTCTGATGTTGTATCTTCGTTGCTGTATCTTTTCTGTTTTATTTATGTCTATATGTGTTTCCTTATGTTGTCTTCCGATTTTGAAGTGTATTTCTGAATGTAATAAATAGTGATCGCTACCGCAGGTTACACTTCTCTGAACTCTTACATCTTGTACTCTCAGTTGGGTTTTTTGTTTTGTTACAATATAATTGATTATTGATTTTATGTTTCGTGTTTCCTGAATTCATGTATAGCTGTGTATCAGTTTATGTAGAAAGTATCCATTTAAGATTCTGAGTTGATTCTGGTTGCGTAAATCTCTGAATCTTTCACCATTATTGTTCGTAGTGTCTTCTCCGTATTTTCCTACTATTTCATCGGCATCTTTTCTTCCTACTCTCTACTGTTAATATCCCCCATTAATATTATTTCCCGCGATTGACATATTGTTGATCTTTCTTCGTGAAGCTGTTCAAAAAATGCGTCTTTTACGTTGGCTAGTGCGTCGTTATTTATTGCGTATACGTTCATAATTGTTACTTTATATATATGAAGACACATATTTACTTTAATTAATCTTTTATTTATGGCTTCCTAGGTTGTTATGAACTTTCTTAGTCTTCGGTGAATCATTAAAGAAATTCCCTGTTGAGCTCTACATTCTTTTGGTACTCCACTATAGAAATGGTTATATTTTCTTAGATTTTCAGAGCCGGTTCTCTTCTTTTTTGTTTCGGTTATGACTGCTATGTCTATTTTTAGTTCTGTTAAGTCATGTAAGACTTCATTGAGTTTTTTTGATGTACCTTGAACGTTCCATGTACCAAAAAATCGTGTCCCTTTTCAAAGCTTATCTCGTCTTCTTTGTGGCGTACTATTCTGAGGCGTTTGATTGGGTTTTTTTAAATTTTTATGTTTTTTACAAGTACTGGGGAGTTAGCCCAATGCCTTAACCTCCAACCTGGAGGACCACGGGTTTGGGTTTAGAGTCTCCCTCTTCTAGACGGATTGTCTTGAATATTATACGAACTCTTAAATCGGTAGTCGCCACCACAGTATATTGCTTAAAAGAATGCAAAATACTGTGGTCGCCACTTCCGCCATACACATCGTACCGAAAATTTTCTTCTCCGCCATGGATACCGTTGTGGTCTTTATCCGTGATCCTGGACATAGGACCCTAAGCAGGTACTAGTTTCCCGGGTCAGGAAACTCCTGGAATTTGCGGAGTTCAGGGATTGATTTACTTTCCCTAGTAGGACTGTCCAAAGGAGTTCCTACCCGCTACCCGCACTCCAATTTTGTCGATATTTTCAATCATAAATTTTTCTACGACATTTTCGGATGATAAATGCAAACATTATTTATTTTTATCTTTCCTACTTTACACTCAAAGAGTGAAGAAACAAACACTAAAAACAAAAAGCGAGGACAAAATTACCAGACACAAATAAAATCAACTTATTCAGGCGATAAAAAGAGAAAAGAACAGAATCCATTTAGGAGTCCAGTTATAACTAGTTTAATAAAATGTCTCAAATCTCAAGGATTTAATTAGAAAACGGTCGAAAGAATAAAGAAATTTATTTATAGCCTTCTGTCTTTACAAATATTAACTGTAGACCGTCGGTTATCGGACTCCAAAACAAAAAGTAAACCGCAAAATAGTCGACCCCGTATGGAGGACATGCGTTTTTATATGTAAATGATTGCGAGAATCTCTTGATATTCCGGTTTGGAAACAATCATCTGACGTTAATGAGGTTTCCCCCATCGGTCTGAATCTTATCCTTTTATTCGATAAACAAAAGTATTATCAAACATCCACTTTAACCTCGCAATAATATGTGGTCGCATTCATTTTATCTTTACGGTGTTTGTAGAATATCAATTATAAAAAAGTTTTGATTTGTAATTTCAAAATGTCGATGTACGTTGTATTACTAAGTGTTTTGTTATTGAACAGTTTTCTTCTAGTGGAAGTTCAAGGTGGTTTTCGGCGATTAAAACGACAAGATGATTTAGATAATACTATAATAGAGACTTTTAATAACTGTAAATGTGTTTACTACTATCAGTGTGATGCTAATAATACAGTGATTACCAATGGTGAAAATTTAATCGACTTACGGTATGTTTTATATTTAACTATCTAGAAGCTTTAGAAAGGGGTTTTAAATTAAAGTATAATTAATACAGTTTGTCAGCTATATTTTGGTATTCCTTGTTAAAACTAATTGCAATGATATTCCTATTCACTCCTAATCTCATTTTTATTCCTCCCGTTGTCAACTATCCATATTTTTCTGTAGCAATCACTTTTATCTATACATTTTTTATATTTTCTTACAAAGAAGATGGCTACTTCATCTATTTATTAAGGACGTTTCGTTTTCTAATCAAAAAGCATCATCAGTTCATCTAAAAAGAACGATATGAAAAACCAAACATCCAAAGAAAAGTTATTAAGTCTGTTACCTCAAAAAGACATGTAGCAGTCAATGATATTAAAATTGTAAAGAAGCTTCTGATAATGGACATTAAAAGATTATGTTGTATAAACAATAAATTAAACTAAATATAGTTAACAATTTTCTCAAACTTATCACAGCAAAAGAACATGTGGTAGTTGTACATGTATATAAAAAAATTATGTAAAAAGTATAAAAAAACACATTAATATGAAGGAGAAATAAAAGATTTAAGATGCACTTCCAACAGTATATCAATAGTTAAAGTTTAATTTTGACTTTAGGTAGCATTATTAAGTGATTGATTGAAATTAGTATTTAGTTAAATTCTTTACAATTTTAATATCATTGACTGCTACATGTCTTTTTGAGGTAACACACTATAATAACTTTTCTTTGGATGTTTGGTTTTTCATATTGTTCTTTTTAAATAAACTGATGATGCTTTCTGATTAGAAAACGATACGTCTTCAATAAATAGATGAAGTAGCCATCTTCTTTGTCTTTTTTTCTCCACCTTTTGACCGAAAAAACCCACCACTCCTGGAGTGATCCTTAATTTATATATATACCTATATATATATATATATAATATATATATATATATATATATATATATATATATATATATATATAAATATATGTGTATATATATATATTATATATATATATAATATATATATATATATATATACTCTCATGATTATCACTTTATGTACAAAATTTACAACTGGTACGATGAATATCAAGAATTTGATACATACTTTGATGTAGCTGATAGAGGGCGCCACATTGGCCAAATATGTGATATATAAATTTGCACTTAAATTTTTTGTTCTTCAAGTTACCGGTATTTTTGATAAAAAAGATTAAAGATACAATGTTTTAACAAAAAAAAAGGTATACTTGTTAATATCTTCAAAACTCAACCGTTTTCGATATAATCGCATTTTACAAATCAACTACATAATTCTGATTTAACGCAATTATTCCAGGCAACGAAAGCAAATTAAAAAAAAGCAATAATACTTTAGAATTATGGTATAAAATATCTTTAATAAAGTTAATGTTAACGTATTATTAAATAAAATAAATATACCAGCAGGATAACTAATAATAGGATTTGACAAATTAACATAATAATTTATTGGATTTTACATCAAACATTTTACGTTTTGTATTAAAGTCATAATCAAAACATTTTATTTACAAACCAAATTAGGAAATGGTTAAACTAAATAGCAATAAACTTTTTGTATAATAATAAGTAATTTTTTGGAATTTTTATGAATTAAATAATCATATTAATATCTCACCACATGACCAAGAAATATGACTACCACAAACAATCCAACGTTGAGGAAAGTTGTATTAAAATACTGTTCATACTTCTCTTTCTCTATAATGTGATGGTGTATCATCTTGTATAAACTACATATTTCGCCTTAAGTTTGATGACAATTCTTCCAATAAATCAATAAAATGATTTTATAGAAAATGTAAATAAATCACACCATTCAAATTACAAGGTAATTCGCATATCCGTAAAAAATCATGACTAATGGTTCCAAACCATACGACATGCATTTTAAATATGCTTTTTAAATAAAAGTATGGTTTACGGATATGCGAATTAACTTATTATATATTATGCGATAATTTAAATGGTGAGATTTATTTACATTTTTAAAAAAATTATTCTATTGATTTATTGGAAGAATTGTTATCAAACTTACGGCAAAATATGTGTTTTATACAAGATGGTACACCATTACATTACAGAAAAAGGGGAGTAAGAACAGTATTTAAATACAACTTTAATACTTTCCTGAACGTTGGATTGTTCGTGGTAGTCATATTACTTGGTAATGTAATGAGATATTAATATAATTATTTAATTTATATAAATCCCAAAAGAATACCTATATTATACTTATAATACTAAAAATAAGTACTGCATTACTTTCTTTAGAACCAATGATGATATTTAATATGAAACGATCTTTTATGGAATGTAATGACAAAATGAATTAAAGAAAATGGTGAACATACCGAACACTTACTTTGATAAAAAGTTTAATGTTATTTATTGTAACAATTTTTAATTTGGTTTGTAAATAAAATGTTTTTATTATGACTTTAATTCAATATAAAACGTAAAATGTTTGATGTAAAATCATATTGTTCCGTTATTTTGTCAAATCTATTATTAATTATCCTGCTGATATATTTAATTTTATTTAATATTTAGTTAACTATTAACTTTATTAAAGGTATTTTATAACAAAATTCAGAAGTATTGATGGTTTTATCTATTTTTCTTTCGTTGCCTGGAGTAATTGCGTTAAATCAGAATTATGCAGTTGATTTGTAAAATGCGATTATCTCGAAAATTGTTGGGTTTTGAAGTTATTAACAGGTACACCTCTTTTTTGTTAAAATAATGTATCTTTAATATTTTTTATCACAAATATCGGTAACTTGAAGAGCAAAAAAGTTAAGTGCAAATGTATGCCACATATATGGCGCCCTCTATTAGATATATTAAAGTATGCATCAAAGTATAATTCCTGATATTCAATAGTACCCTGCTGTAAATTGTTGTATAGAAATGTTAACAAACATGAAAGTTTAACACCCTGTATCTTTCTTAATATCAACATTTTATTAAAGCAATTAGGCTTAAACCGTAATATTTTAGAGTGTAGAATCTGCGGTTTCTTTTTGTACAGTTACTTAAGGACCACCCTGTATATATAATGTCCGGTTTATAGCATCCTGCGCCTTCCGGTTCCGAGTCTTTATTTACGTCTATCGATTCAGTCTTCTGGTCGTCGATCTCTTTCTAACATTGCCTTTTGGACTTCATTAAGCCATGTTGTTTTCGGTCTTCCTCGTTTTTTCCCTCGAGTGGCTGCCAAACCAATATTATCTTCGGTAGGCGATGGTTTGTCATTTCCTGTATATGTCCGTACCAACTAAGCTGTTTTGCTATATTTCTTTGATAATGATGTCCATTTTTGTCTTATTCTTTTATTTGCTGAGTGCATCGTTCTAAATATACCTGCTGATTTGCGCCAAAAATCGTTTTACAGAACAAGGAATTTTTGTACCGTTCTCTTAGTGAGTTGTCAGGTTACGCATCCATTAATTACAATGCTTTTAAATATGCTGTTATATAGCTGTATATAGCTGTATCTTTTTCTGTTAAAAGCTAGTTTTTGTCCAGAGTAGTGAGTTAAGTGCGCATACTATTTGTTTCTTTTTTATGATTCGTTCTTAGATTTATGTTTCAGTGCGTCCGTCTCTTGCCATCTTTGCTTCCAAATAGATATATTTGTAACATAAACAAATTACCCTTCCATCTACTAAGTTTAGTTCATCGTTTTCCGCTCCTCCTATGCACATGTATTTCGTTTTACTTGGTGTAAACTTGTATAGGTGTAACTCATCTTTCTTCAGGTATATTATCTTCATTTAGGTATCTATTAAAAAGTTCTGTCAGCATAGTATTAACCCTTTCTTTACCGGTCGTCAATACCTAGGTAGTACTGCCAGATCCAGATTTTTTAAAAAGTCATGAGCCCAGTGCCATATATATACGGCATTCTAAAAAATAGATCAAGAGTTGTTTTATGAGGAGATAATGGATACTATTGATATGATATTGATATTTAAACAAGTAACTAGGATTACGTACATATAAGTCAAAAGTTTTTAATACATTTCTTATGTGTGATATTCTCCGAAGCAAGGAAATACGCCTCTATCTTTAAAATCGCCTCATTTATTTGGTACCATAGCCGGAAAATATCGCACTGTCAGAAGCAGATGTATTGATGTATCTCAACGTCCTGGGTATGTTTTTTTGGCATAGGCATTTGCCACTCAGCCAGTCACAACTTTTTAAAGTTCTTCCTAAAGGAAAGAAAAGAAAATAATTATCAAAATATATTTATTATTGGTTATTTGGTTATCCATGGAACAAACATGGTTACTCGCTTCTCGTCTAGGGACCCATCAAGACATTAAATTAAAACATAAACTAGATCGGGTCACGGATAGTAGTTTAAAACAAATGGGATAAAACAAATGTTACTATTTTCTTAACTGGACTTACAAATTGAGGTTACTTTTCGAAATAAATTCTATTAAGTAGTTATATCATGGACGTATAAACACAGATGGACCAGTTATTTACATAAAATTGTGAAGTCAAAATTATTTGAATAGGTCACATTCTCAGCACCTTCAACTGTTGTCACGTTTTGTTTTAAAATTTTTTATTCGCGAGTCGCTGAAAATATTACTCCGTATTTTATACTCTACAGGTGCTATCAAACCAAAATAATAATTTATTGGTTATATTAATATATTTAATTGTAATCAAAATATCAAGTGTGCACATAGTGTGCGTTATCATTTATTAATAGCGTATAATAGATATCAATCAATTATTTTATATGTAGAAGCACTGAAAACTATTTATAAATGGCAACGGTTGTTTACATTTCTCTGTCTTATGGATCTACGTCAAACTTCAAATGCTGTTCCATGTTTGTTTACTTTTTACAGTAAATGAGGAAAAAGTTATTTTTCGATATTTTGGCTGTATTTTGAGTGATATTTGTGAAAAGTGAAATAAAATAAACGAAATATT